TAGTAGTAGTAGTAGTAGTAGTAGTAGTATTAGTAGTAGTAGTAGTAGTAGTAGTAGTAGTAGTAGTAGTAGTAGTAGTAGTAGTAGTAGTAGTAGTAGTAGTAGTAGTAGTAGTAGTAGGAGGAGGAGGAGGAGGAGGAGGAGGAGGAGGAGGAGGAGGAGAGGGAGGAGGAGGAGGAGGAGCCGTAGTAATAGCAGCGCACTTGTATACCATTGCTTTTCCTATATGGATATCCGCCCGAGCAGCAAGGCACTTTTTCAAGGCATTCCCAGATGCCGCCGGCGCGAATCGTGACGTTACCAGGGGGGGGAGAGGGGCGCCGCCGGTAACGGGCGTTATCGCGAATAATACAAACTTTTTGTTTTCGAACCCAAAGCGGCCCTTATGTCATCGCTTCGCTCACTCCGCCGGCCCATCTCGCATCGCTGTGGCTGCGTGGTGGTATGCTCGTGTCCAGGGGGAAGGGTAGGGCAGGCAGGACGGTCTTCGAGGAGATTTTTAGAGATGTGGTTCGCACCCAGTCGAGGAGAGCTGTTTGACTGACTGCCCCAGGGCGAGAAGATGGCTCAAGAGAGCTCCAGCAGAGTTTCGAGACGTTCTTGGGTTGTGGGCCAAAGCCCACATGGATGCTTCTTGGGGTCTGTTCGGAGGGAGCCTCTGGGGAGCAGTTTGAGGCCTCTGGAGAGCCTCTTGGGGGCTTCTTGGAGGCCTCTTGGGATTTCCTGGGGGCATGTTGGGAGTCTTTGAAGCCTCTTTTTTGGCCTCATGGGTGCCTCTCGTGGCCTCTTGGGGGGCTCTTAGGGGCCTCTGGGGGCTTCCTGGGCGCCTCTTGGGGCTGAGTGCTCGACATGACTGTTCGGGTGCCCCCATCTAGGCCCCCTCTTGGGGCCATCCTGCGGCCGTCTTGAAGGCCTCTTGGGCGAACCCAGAGCGGCCGCTTTTTCAGCGTCTTGACTGGACACGCGCGCCGGAGGTGCCTGAAGGACCGCCTGTCGGGGCCGAGGAAGATCCTGCGCGTGACGGACAGCGAGGACTACATGGCCTCGCACGGCTTCGTCCGGGAGATCTTGCAGACGCTGCGGAAAGAGACCGAGGGCAAGTGCGCTCTCCTCGGGTTCGTGGGAGCCCCCTGGACCCTCGCCGCGTACGCGGTCGAAGGCTCGCGCGTGGCACGACAGAGGAGTCAGATGCTCGTGTCGGGGATCGTCCTTGGGGGGCCAACACACGGATGTGTTTGACTCTAGTTCGATTCTAGTTCGGTTCTAGCTCGAGTCGAGTTCGATTCAAGATTGACTCAAGTCAACGGACGTTCGACGCAGCATCGACGCAGGAGTGGAGCGAGTTGCTCCAGGAAGGTCCCCAGAGCGAGCATCTGAGAGGAGGGAAGACAGGGGGTGGGAAGATTGGGGGAGTGAGCGGAATTCGTATGATCAGGCCTTTGGACGAGCGCACTACACATAGAAGCGGTCTCCATAGAACACCGCATCACTTGGGACAGCACACCCCGCTCCACCTCCGCCACCTCCTCCTCGCCCACCTCGCTCGTCGCCCTCCTCCCCCCTCTAACTCCTCCTCGCGTACCGCCCTCCTCTGTCGGAATAGCGGGGGTTGCGCCAGAGTTTGCGTGCGCAATCGTCTTTGGCCGCGTTGCCCGGCATATTCGTTGATGCTTGGACGCGCCCATGTTATTCAGGGCAGTCGGAAAGTCAGCATTCTGCAATTGATCCGTATATCCATTCTCCCGCTCCAGTTCAGCGAGCACAAACAGGAAGGGCGCACGAACACATACGTGTGATGGCCTTGGTGGGATATTATGTTTTGCGTCCATCTGTGTCCTCCCATTCATCCAAGACGGAGGAGGAAGAGGGGGGCGATGAGAGGTGAAGAGGAGGGAAGGGGTGGAACGAGCAGGGGGAGGAGGAGAACGACGCCGAGGAGGAAAGAGGAAGAGGAAGATGAGAACCAGGAAGGAGGGGGGAGTAACAGGACCTGGGAGATGGGATGAGGAGGAGCAGGAAGGAAGAGGATGGGGAGGAGGGACGAGGGGCAAGGAGGACGACGAGGGAGGAGGAAGGTGGGATGAGGAAGATGGCGGAGGCGGATGAGAAGGAGGTGTCCACTGCTCCCCTTCGTCCCTCCTCCGATCTCCTCCTCTCCCTTCGGAATGGCTGCGGCGTCTCCGAAGAAGAAAAACTGCAAAGCATAAACTTTTGGCGCTCCGCGTGTATTTCTTGGATCCGCGCTGGCCCCCCCTGGCGACGCCTTCGGTGCCGCCCCTGGCGCGCTTCGCACGCCAGGGAGGGGGGTCCAGCGCAGATCCAAGAAATATGCGCGGAACGCCAAAAGTTGGTATGTTCTGCCGTTTTTCTTCTTCTATCCTTTCCCTTCCCTTTCCTCCTTTCCCCTACCCACCGCCTCGTCCCGTGTCCTGCCCCGGTCATGAGGGGGGGGGGGAGACCAAGCGGGGGCCCGCAGAAGGGAGCGAGTTTCCGAGCCCGTGGCCGCCGCCTTGAGCTGTTGTTGGTCCAGCGTCGCAGTCAGAAGATTGTCCGCGCCTCGTTCCTCCTCCTCCTCCTCCTCCTCCTCCTCCTCCTCCTCCTTCGCGTCCTCCTCCTCCTCCTCCTCCTCCTCCTCCTCCTCCTCCGCCTCCTGCTCCTCCTCCTCCTCCTCCTTCGCGTCCTCCTCCTCCTCCTTCCTCCTCCTCCTCCTCCTTCTCCTCCTCTCCTCCTCCTCCTCCCCTTCCCCTCCCCCCCCTCCCCCTCCCTCCCCCCCCTCCTCCTCCTCCTCCTCCTCCTCCTCCTCCTCCTCCTCATCCTCATCCTCATCCTCCTCCTCCTCCTCCTCCTCCTCCTCCTTCGCGTCCTCCTCCTCCGCCTCCTCCTCCTCCGCCTCCTCCTCCGGAGGAGGAGGAGGAGGACTGGAATGAAGGAGTCAAACCCTGCCCCAACTAGCCCACACTCCCCGTCCTTCGTCCTCTCCCTTGGGCTGTTTCTGAGGGCGAGAAACGCCACAAGCAGAAACGTTTGGCGCTCCGCGCGGGTTTCTTGGATCCGCGCTGAGGCCCTCCGGCGGCGCCTTGCGCAGATCAAAGAAATCCGCGCGGAGCGCCAAAAGTTTATATTAATGCCGTTGCTTGATCTTCTAATAGTCCCAGTCCTTACCTTCTTTCTCGGACTGTCCTCTCGTTGCCGCAGCCTCCCCTTTGACAAGGCGGCAGCACAAAGGACGCGGCTAACTTCAAGAGGTGGATGTACGATCAGCCCGAAGTCGCGGACGAGTTCCTGGAGCGCTGCACGGACTCCATAGCCAACTACGGGATATTCCAGGCGCAGGGGCCACTGCATGACAGAACAATTTGGCCCCCAGCATTTGCGTTTACTGAACAGTCCTGCCTTGCGTGGTTCTCTCCTGAGGTGCGGCGTTTTCCTGCAGGGCCTCGCCTGTTCCAGTGCGAATGTGCGAGGCGGTCAGTTTACCCTCCAGTGTCGGGTATTGCCAGGAACCCAGGTAAGGGGACCCGGTTAGTGGTTGGGCCCCGGAGCTTTTGAATTGACCAGAATCACTCAACCAGGTTTGCCATAGCTGGTGTTTTTTCGGGTGACGGCAGTTCCGCGGAGTGGAGATGGGACGGGGGGGCGCCCCCAGGACAGATCACTAAACCAGGTTCCACTAAACCCAGTTCTGCCAACGCCCGACCGGGGGCGAAGAGGGGGCGCTAGGGGGGGGGGGGGCAGCCAGGCCAGTCTCGAGGCTCGCGGGCGTCGTTTCGCCCAGGGCGGGCCTCTCGCCGCCGCGGCCGGGTTCCCCGTTCGACGTTTGTTAGCCACTGCGCAGCTCGGGCGCGATGGCCCACCTGTGGCAGGTGGGCCCCCGGGGGATTCCACACCTGCGAAGTGCAGCCTGTGTTATGTCTCTGGACGCCCGAAATGGGTACTGAAAGAATGGGTACTATGCCCAACAGCGGATCTTGTTCATTTTGAACATGATCCGCTGTCCACGCCGCCGCGGCCTGTGTCCATTCGAGACAGGAGGCCGCCCGCCCAACAGCGGCCGCTGTTGGTTTGGGACAACATTGGTTGTTGGGCATAGTGCCCATTCTTTCCGTGCCCATTTCGGGCGTCCAAAATGTCGGGCCTGTCCCGGGGGATTTTTGACGAGAAATAAAAACATACTCCAAACATGACCCAAACATACTCCCAAACATAGTCCGGGGTATTTTTTGAGTATTTTTGTAACTTTTGGGATCATTTTTTGGGATTTTGCTCGTCGAAAATCCCCCTGTAGGGGGACACGCCCGACATAACGCTTGTGTTCGTAAACAGAGACGCAACGTCAGAACATCCGCAGCCTGCTGTAAGTTCTCATCGGGAGGAGAGTAAGGCGGCACCAGCACCACAAGGGGTGCCACCTCCAGCGCGGAGGTCCGCGATGCCTCCCCAGGCTGGGGTCAGGGGTTGTCTCGAGCGGGAAGGGGGACCACACCACCATGAGGACCGCCCCCAGCTCCTCGCGCTGGGGGTGGCGTCGCTTGTCTCTGATCCAAATCTAGTGGCCTCTGGGATGTCTGTGGAGATTTCCAGGGGCCCCCGCGAGGGCTCCTGGAGAGGCCGAGAGCTTAGTGGCAGCGTGGCAGCTTCGGGGGGCGGGGGCCTCGCCTGTCCCCCAACATTGGTGTTTTCTCTCGTGCCCCATGCGGGCCCGATGCGGACGCGGCGCGGACTCGGCGTGGATGCGGCGCGGATGCGGCGGCACGGATCCGACGAGCCCGACGTGGACTCGGCACGGTCTCGACGCGGACAGGGCCGCGACGGGGCAGACGAGACCCCCCGAGGACGCAGCATAGGAGAGACCAGCCACAGGCTTGCCAGCGTTAGGTCGGGCCTGTCCCTCTGCAGGAGGAATGTATCCCAAAATGGTCGAACAAGTAGTCTGGGGACTACTTCTTGAGCATGCTTTGACTGTTTTTGAATATTTTAGGGGGTCTTTTTATAAATTTCTCGTCGAAGATCCCCCTGCAGGGGGACAGGCCCGACCTACTGCCAGCGCGTCGTCTCTTCTGCGGCGCGAACCTGTCTGGGCGGGGGCGCCGGGGGAAGAGATCGGCGGCGCGCCCTCGGGCGCGAAGCCGGGGGGGAGGGGGGGCGAGGGCTGCCAAAAGGAGCTTCGGGTTTAGGGTTCAGGGTTTAGGGCTTAGGGTCTACAAGCTTTGCCGCAGCTGATCACCTCCTGCCTAGGGGCCCACCTGCGGTGGCTGCCAGTCCCACCCGCAAGCCACCCTACCACAAAGAACTTTCGGGGACCTGAAGAGTACTTCCTTGTTAGGAAAGTCTCATAGGTGCATGAACGTCAGGAAAATGTTTGTGTTTGCAAAGGATGGCGAGGGTTTACAGCACGCGTGATCAGGAAATCGTATTCGTTGCAAGGGGTGGCGAGGGTTTATAGCACGAGTGATCAGGAAGTCGTACGTTTGCATAGGATGGCGGTGGTTTACATGGCGGGGTCGTATGTTACCGTAGGTTACTGTATGTACCCGTTTTTTGTTTTGGTGTTCAAGGCTTAGTAATTATAGGATTTAAAATTTAGGCTTTGGAGGACGATCAATGGAGAGGAAACAAGTTGTCAAACCACATTCTAAATTCAACTATAGGACTGTCAGGGGTGGCATCCGCAAGTTTAGGGTTCAGGGTTTAGGGTTTAGGGTCTACAAGCTCTGCCGCAGCTGATCACCTCCTGCCTAGGAGCCCACCTGCGGTGGCTGCCAGTCCCACCCGCAAACCACCCTACCAAAGCGAACTTGCGGGGACCTAAAGAGTACTTCTTTGTTGAGGAAAGTCTCATAGGTGTATGAACGTCAGGAACATGTTTTTGTTCGCAAGGGATGGCGAGGGTTTACAGCACGCATGATCAGGACATCACACTTTTGTGTAAGGGATGGCGAGGGTTTACAGCACGCGTGGTCAGAAACTTGTTTTGTTGCATAGGCTGGCGGTGGTTTACATGGCGGGGTCGTATGCTACCGTATGTGACCGTATGTGCCATTTTGTTCGGTGTACTGGGTTTAGTCATTATAGGATTCAAAATTTAGGCTGTGGAGGACGACCAATGGAGAGGAAGCATGTTGCCAAACCACCTTCTAGGTTCAATTATAGGACTGTTAGGGTGTCCGTTGTCGTGGCATCCACAAGTTTAGGGTTCAGGGTTTAGGGTTTAAGGTCTAACAGGGCAAGGCCAGGAATACCTACCTGCATAGGCACTCACCTGCGGTGGCTATCAATTCCCCCCGCATCTCCACCCCCACATAAAGATCATCTCTCCTCTCATGTTATACCGTGGCTGTAGCATAGCATAGCATACCATAGCAAACGTGGCTCGATCCAGGAGTGCGCCTGGGAGCAAGCGCTTAGCAAAGAGGCGGCGGCCGCGCGCGTGTGCACTTTGTCGTATTTTTTGCAATGGAATATGAGCATGGGCGCATTCGCCGTGCGCTCAGAAGTTGTTTGTGACGCCCCGATTTACAAGAATGTTGCAAAACCCATTGGTTTTTCAATGATTCAGGATGCACGCGGAGGGCGATCCTGCACAATTGTGGTATGAGAAAATCATATGTTTTCATATGTTTTGCTGATATCGCTTCTGAAAAAAAACATTGAAAACACATTGTGTTTCAAACTATTTCGCCATGATCGTGCGGCCGCCGCGCGCGTGTGCACTTTGTCATTTTTTTTGCAATGGAATATGAGCATGGACACATCTTGCAAGAGCAGAATGTTAAGTTTATAGTATGTTTTACAATATAAAACCCGGGTTTACATACCAGGTCGCAACCACGGCCGGGCACTTTGCATTGTAAAAAAATAATGTTTTCTGATCGCATGATCAGGATATATTATTTTCTGAAGTGGATGAGCCCGGTTCGCGACCGGGGCCGGGCACAATGTATTGTAAAAAATAGGGCTATCTGATCGTATCATCACGAAATATTATTTTTTGCATAGGAGAAAGGGGGTATTACATAGCGGCCGGTTTAGAAGGATTTAGGGTTTAATAATTATAAGGATTAGAGATGCCCAAACTTGAAGCCTGTTGGACGTTTCCCACCCGCCCATGGCCCAAAACGACCACGACGATACCGATGGCGAAAACGACGGTATTGATCTCAAAACGATGACGACGACGACAGTCGCGCAAAGTCTTGTGGGAAACCGTTGCAACGGCGATGCGGCACGCGCCCGTCCCCCGACGCCGTGGTGTCGCGTTTGGCGCCGCCGCCCGCTGCCCCCCGCATCTGCTGCCGCCCCTGCTGCCGCCGCTCCGCTGCCCAACGAGGGGCTCGGCCCGTTCGGCGCCGCCGCCCGCCGCTCCCGGCCCACTGCCCGCTGCCCTCCGCCACTGCCCCGTGAGGGGCCGCCGCCTGCCCCCCTCGCACTTGCCGGGTGTCCAGGCCGATCCCCGGGAGCCCCGCGTAGCCTGGCATGGGCCCACTTCGCTTGGCTGTGCAAGCCTGGAGCACTCGGAGCACCGTTCCTGGCACTCCGAGGGCAAGGATCTGCGCGAGGGGTGCGCCGAAATTGGGGGCGGCATACGGGGCGGCTTTAGGACGGGCTAAGGCACTACAGGATTTAAATATCTATAACCTCTTAGTTTTTGGGGTCTATATGGATTTCAAAACGACGACGACGACGACAGTCGCGCAGAGTCTTCTGGGAAGCCGCTGCAAAGGCGATGCGGCACGCGCGCGCGACGACGAGATTTGAAGAGCGACGTATATTTACGCGAGTCCTTGTGCGTCGCAGGGACGCCGCCCAGCGGCGGTGGTATTGCATGGAGTGGCTACGCAACGAGCGCGGGATAGTTCGTTGCCTCGAGGAGACGGACCCCCAGTTCGCATCCTTAGCAGTGCGGCGCGGTGCGCGAAAGCCGATGCAACGGCGATGCGACGCCCGCACGCTAAGCGACAAAAACGAATAGTTCCCCGCAGCAGCTTGCCGACGCCTTGGCGATGCATACCCCGGCTTGCCACGAGGCGCGCGGGACGCCGGGGGCAAGGATCTGCGTGAGGGGTGCGCTTTGCGCAGTGCAAAAGCTCTCGGAACACCGTTCCTGGCATTCCGAGGCCACGGATCTGCGTGAGGGGTGCGCCGAAATGGGGGGCGGCATAAGAGGCGGCATAAGGGCGGTTTTAGGACGGGCTAAGGCACTACAGGACGCAGATCTTCACAGGTTCTTAGTTCTTAGAGTTTAGGGCTGGGTTTAATCTGGACGCCCGAAATGGGCACGGAAAGAATGGGTACAATGCCCAACAGCAGTTCTTGTTCATTTTGAACAGGATTCGCTGTCCGCGCCGCCGCGGCCTGTGTCCATTCGAGACAGAAAGCCGCCTGCCCAACAGCGGCCGCTGTTGGTTTGGGACAACATTTGCTGTTGGGCATCGTACCCACTCTTTCCGTGCCCATTTCGGGCGTCCAAATTCATAGGTTCTTAGCTCTTAGAGTTTAGGGCTGTTTAAGGATCGCCCCTGAAGGAGCCCTCTCGGGCTTCAGAGGTGGCCTGCAGGGCCCGAGCAGGGCACCTTTTCTCCCCCCTTCATTTTTTCCGCCCCGAGGAGGAGGAGGAGGAGGAGGAGGAGGAGGAGGAGGAGGAGGAGGAGGAGGAACCGAGTTCGAGCCCCATGCCTGGGGGGGAGTGAAGGGGGAAAAGGCCTTCTCAGAAAACGGCGGGGCTTCTTAGAAGGCCTTCGGCCTTCTAAGCGAGTTTCGGTGTCTTCGGGGAGGGCGTAAAACATGTTTCGGAACGCCCAAGGCATTCCGAACCTTCTGAGAAGGCCCGCCCCTTCTCACTTAACCGCCGGGCTCCCCGCTTAGAGGAAACGGAGGAGGAGGAGGAGGAGGAGGAGGAGGAGGAGGAGGCGGAGGAGGAGGAGGAGGAGGAGGAGGAGGAGGAGGAGGAGGAGGAGGAGGAGGAAGAGGAGGAGGATCAGGGGGAGCAGCAGGGGCACGACGACGACGGCGACGACGACGACGACGACCGGTGCAGGGCGGCCCCCCCGCACAGGCGCGCAGCGGCGCGCAGTGCATCCAGATCTTCGACTCTTGGGCGCACTGCCTCGGCCCGGAGCCCGGAGGATGAAAAAGCACGGGCATTGCTGGGCCGGGGGAGGACGAGGAGGAGGAGGAGGAGGAGGAGGAGGAGGAGGAGGAGGACCTCCCTGTCCCCCCTCTTCCCCCGTCCTACCTATGGTGGTGGTGGTGGAGAATTGGCCGATCAGACATACCGCGAGCGCCCCGTGCCTCGTTTTCGCCTCCTGGGGGCCTCCTGGGAGGCCCTCGTCGCCACGGCCGGATGGGCCTGGAAATTCTGGTCAGGACGCACCCCATCAGCGGTCTGGGGAGTGGTTCTAAGCCTTCCAAATATGGTCGGATGCATCGCCGACGCAGCTCGATGTCGGGCCCGATTTGCTTCACGTCGACATCGCCGATGTATCGCCGACGTCGGCAATTCATCGCCGGTGCATCACCGATGCAGCGCCGATGCACTGCCGATGCATCGGCGAGTCGGCGCGATCCTCTGACCCCACCTACTCCGACCCCATCTGGGACGCCTCTAGTGGTAGCGCTATCGGTATTGAAGGCGCCTGCGGCGAATCAGCGCCGCCCCTTGCCTTTTGGAACCGCCCGTGTGGCCGAACACTCAGGCCAGGGCTCTGCCTTGCCTCTCCGACGTCGGAGGCCTCGTTTATGCTAGGGAGTGGGCCCCGCGTGACGGTCCACATGCGCAAAGAAGAGAGACGACACTTGATCTGCCAGGGTGCTGGCCCCGTTTTACGGCCAACACTTGATATACCTTCATACGCTACATGTATCTTAGAATTTGTCTACACGTTGTGTACACCTGCGTTTGTAGTCCGGCGAGTACAGGCCAGAGGATTCATTCACCCTGTACTGTAGCCAGACGAAGCACTTAAATTTGTACCGCGTGACTTTGCCTTGGGACGCATCTTATACACGAACGGCTGGCATGCAGATGGGCATCCTGGTGCAGAAAAAAAACACTCTGGCCAGGGCTCTGCCAAGTTATCGGACCATGTGTTCCCCCAGCTGTTGTGGAAACCCTTCGGGGAACACTTGGGGGAGGATGGCGGCGAAGATCAGGAGGAGGAGGAGGAGGAGGAGGAGGAGGAGGAGGAGGAGGAGGAGGAGGAGGAGGAGGAGGGGGCATCTTGGGAGCCTCTGGGAGCACTCTTTGGGCGGGGGACCTTCCTGAGGGCCTCTAGGAGGCATCTTGGGGGCCTCCTTGGGTCTCTTGGAAGCCTTTGGGGGCCGTTTTCCGGCGTTCCTGGGCCGTCTGACCCCGTCGGAAGCCGTTTTGGGGGCCTCGGGTGCTTCAGGGCCGTCTTGGAGGCCATCTGTGGCGTCTTGGAGGGCTCTTAGGCTGTCTTGGGGCCCTCTTGGAGCCGTCTTGGGGGCCTCTTGGGCCGTTCTGCGGCCATCTGGGAGGCCTCTTGGGCGATCTTGGAGGCGATCTTGGGGTTGCTCTTGGGCCGTCTCGGGCCGGTGGAAGGCCGAATAGAAAGAACTGCCACAATCGTTTAAACACCGTACGGGAATCGATGATTTGTGCCTCTTCGGGCCTTCTTGGAGGCCATATTGGGGCCCTCTTGGGGGCCTCTTGAGCCACCTTAGGTCATTTTGGGCCCATCTTACGCCGTCTTGGCGGCTTCTTGGGCGGACTTCGAGGCATCTTGGACATTCTTTGGCCGTCTTGGAAGCCAGCTTGGACCAGCTTGAGCGAATTTGAAGGCCATCTTGGGCCATATTGGCTGTCTTGGAAGCGATTGGGCTAATGTTTCGGCGGCCTACGCAGTCTTCCAGGTGGCCGGCGCGCTGGGCTGCAGGCCCAGTGAGTGTTACGCCAGGCACGCCTGTGGCAAGCCAACAGGGGGCGGCGGTAGCGTTATCGGTTATCGGTTATCGGTATCCCGACGGTCTGCGGTCCCAGGGCAGGACCTAAACGGTGTTTTTGGGCGATTTCGTGGGCCGTTTTCGTTTCGGCTTCGTTCTGCGGTGAAGGCGGATGCGAGACAAAAGGGAGGGATAACGAGAACAAAACGAAAACGAAAAACACCGTTTAGGTTCAGCCCTGTCAGAGTCCTCAGGAATACGTCTTGGGATGTCTTCCGAGGGATCTCGGGCCCCGTAGGCTCGTTTCGGGCCGCTTGCGGCTCCGAAAAAAAGCCGCGCGGGAAGGGGACCAGGCCAGGACCCCCCGAAGATTTGAGAATTCAGGGCCCGGGCCATTTAATATTTAATCCTGTGGATTGAGGACTGGCCTCGATATGTCTTCGGACCCCCCCCATAGTGAAAACGAATCATCGTTTCAGCAACTTCGTTTACGGACTAGGGTCCCACCAATTTTGGAGAATAGTTATTTCTCGGCGACACCCGCCGCGCAAAACGACGACGACTACGACCACGATTACGAGTACGATTAAGACTGCAACCGCGATTCTGATTACGATTCCAACCATGACTACAATTACGATTACAATCACAATTACAACCACGACTGCAATCACGACTACAACCACAGCCACTGATTTCTGTTGCAATCCTCATGGCCCTCAGGAGAGGATGCTCGCAAATCCTTTCGCGTGTAGGGTGGCCAGAAGCTCCAAACATTATCCAGCCCGCCCAACAATAGAGAGAACTTAATCTCCGTCGCGACGATGACGACGACGACGACGACTACAAGTACGACTACGATGACAACTCCATCCACGACTACGGTTACGCTTACAATCGCGACTGCGATTACGATTACAATCACGATTCCAACAACCACGATTACAACAACAACCACTGATTCCTATGGCAATCCTCATGCGAAGCTCACAACTTCTCTCGCGTGTAGGGTTACCCATCATGGTTTATTCCCTGGGAGCAGGACGCCACCACCATTGTCCCGCCCGCCCAGCAATAGATGGACATCATCCTCGCCGCGACGACGACGACGACTCCGACTACGACTACGACCACGACCACGACTACGTATACGACGACAGCCACGATTACAATCACGACTACGATACCGACTGCAACCACAACCAGCGATTCCTGTTGCAGTCCTCACGAGAAGATGTTCACACACCGCTTCGCGTGTAGGGTAATTAGTCAGCCCAGAATGGATTATTCCCTGGGCGAAAGAAGCCCCCAACATTATCCAGCCCGCCTAACAATAGAGGGAAAACTCCCCGCCGCGACGACGGCGACGACGACTGCGATAACGACGACGAGGAGGAGCAGGAGGAGCAGGAGGAGGAGGAGGAGGAGGAGGAGGAGGAGGAGGAGGAGGTTGAGGAGGAGGAGAAGGAGGAGGAGGGGGAGGGGCGAGTTTGATCCCCGCGGAGAGAACCAGGGGGGGATTCAAAGCTAAAGGCCTCCTGAGGTTGCAAGGGGCCTGAGGGCACTCTTGCTCGTGCGCCTCGGGGCACGGTGGCGGTGTCCTTCTGTTGCTTCGCCAGGAGCAGTGGCAGCGCTTCGCCGCGCCCCACGTGAGGCGGGTGGCGCGGGAGATCCGCGCGGCGTGTCCGGACGTGCCGATCATCTATTTTGCCAACGGAGGATCGTCGTCGTTGTCGGCGTCGTCGTCGGCGTCGTTGTCGTCGGCGTTGTCGTCGTCGTCGGGCGTCGTCCTGGCAGCCGCCGTCGTTCACCTTCTCGTCCTCGCCCACGTCCTGTGTGTCCTCTCCGTCCTCCTGGGGCCTCGCTCTTCTTCTGCTTCCCAGCTGCCTTCGCTGTTTCCGCCCCTCTTCCTCATCGTTGTCCTCTTCGTCCACCTATTTCCTCTGTCCCCTCTTCCTTCTTCGCCTGCCTTCGTCCAGGCTGCTCCCATGTCCCAACGTCTAGTGTTGCCATGGGTATCGCTGGCCCAAGGGGTCCCGCAGGATTTCCAGGCAGGCCCAAACGGCCTTCAAAGCACCCCGCACGAGGCCCGGAGAGCCTCAAGGGCTCCAGAATGGCGCGGACAGCTCTTGGCCACCTTGGGCCAGCTAGGGATATCTTTGGCAACCCAGGGCTCGAGCTAAACTGTGTTCTGGTGATTTCGAGGACTGTGTTCTTTCTGTTTGCGTTTCGCAGCAAAGGGAGAACGACAACAGAAACGACGGAACACGAGGACAAAACGAATTCGGAAGACATTGTTTTGCTCGAGCCATGTGGCAACCCTCGGAGAGGAGGGGAGGAGGGAGGCGCCGAGGGTGAAGGACAGAGCAGTGGAGGGGTCTGCGAGCGAGCGGCCTGAGGGATGAGACGAGCGTCGAGGAGCAAGAGGAGGGGGGAGAGGAAGGGGGAGGAGCGGGGAGGATCGCTAAGGGCTTAGCGACATTTCTCCAGTCGCTTACGGGGATCAAGCCAGGTAAAGCGAGTCAAGCCCACACAAATCGAGATACATCCTCAACCGAGGTAACTCCAGATGAATCCCATAGATCTCCAGGGAAGTCTGGAGCAAATCATGGACGCTCCAGTGCGAGTCGTGGGATAGCGGAAGTCGTTAAGCCCTCAACGAGAGGAGGAGGAGCAGGAAGTGGAGGAGGAGGAGGAGGACAACGACCGAAAGGTGGAGGTGGAGAGGACGGAACCGGAGAATGGCAAAAGCCCCGACAGGTTCTGCCTCAGAGATCCGACGCCGTGCTTTTCTCATAGCGCAGCTCCCCCGAGGTCTGGACCCGATCCCAGGGACAGGAGGAGGAGGAGGCGGAGGAGGAGGAGGAGGAGGAGGACGAGGAGGAGGAGAAGGAGGAGGAGGAGGAGGAGATGGAGAAGGAGGAGGAGGTGGCTTCCCATCCTGAGATGTTCCTTTGCGGTTCCGGGGCCCTGTGAGGGCCCCGCCCCTTCGTTCGCTAGAGCGCTTCCGCCGCACGGGGATTGCGAGGAGTCCGTGCTTCGTGAGCAGGGTGCTTCGGAGGGGACAGGAAGGGAAGGCGTCAGGAGCCTCGCGACGGGTGTCAATGCAAACCGGGGTCAGTCAGAGCGCCTGATCTTGCAGGATCCTGCAGGGCCAGGGTCGCATTCACCCGGGTTTGGGTGCAGGATCCTGCAGGATCTTGCAAGATCCTTCGCGTTGACCCGGGTTTGGGTGCAGGATCTTGCAGGATTCTGCAAGGCCTGACTGACCCAGGCTTGGATTGACCCGGGTCAGAAGATCCCCGATTGGGTGCCGCGCAATGGCTGTGGAAGACGATCAGTGGAGAGGAAGCATGTGGCCAAATGATCTCCAGGTGTCTAACACATGTTTCAGACGTCTTAATCATCCTCAAAAAGCGGGTTCAACATGGTCAGACCATGTTTCACAGATGTTAAACACATGCTCAATCCAATGATCGGGCTGTTAGGGTGTCCATTGTCATGGCGTCCACAACGCAGGAGGAGGAGGAGGAGGAGGAGGGGAAGGAGGAGGAGGAGGAGGAGGAGGAGGAGGAGGAGGAGGAGGAGGAGGAGGAGGAGGAGGAGGAGGTGGGGGCCTCCCACTGGGGGGGCAGCGGCGATGGCTGCCGAAAAGGGGTTCCGTGACGACCCCCCCGCCTCGGCCCGAGACGTGGGCAGGCGCCCGGCGGGGAGCCCAGGTGCGGAGGGGGGCCCCGTCGTGGAAGGAGCTCGTCTCGGGAAGGGGTCGGTCGGGCCGCGCCCGAGGCCCCTCGAGATGGCCGCCTCCCGCCTCGGAGGGCATGCGAGCGCCGGCCTCCCCCCCGCGTGTGCGCCACCAGCTGCGACCCGATTCCCTGAAAGGCCTGGCCGGTATCGGACTGGGCCGGGACGAGGATGCATCTGTTCCGAAGCTTTCTCCGTTAAGTCGGGCCTGTCCCTCTACAGGAGGAAGATTCCAAAATTGTTATACCATACTCTGGGGATGATTTTCTGTTTTAACTGCTTTTGCATATTTTTGGAAATGTTTGGGGTATTTTTTATTTGTCGTCCCAAATCCGCCTGTAAGAGACATGCCCGACCTAAGCTTTCCGCAACGCTCTCAGAGCGTTCTGGAACGCTGTGAGAAGGCCGTTGCGCCCGAGACATCCTCCAGAGCCGCCGGATCGCAGAGATGTCCAATGTATCCTCGTCCGGATTTGCCCTCATCCTGGCCTCGTCTTGGTTCTTTACATGGGGCGTAACCAGAAAAAGGCCTAGCCTTCAAGGATCGATGGAGTTGGCATCTCTTCCTCGGCAGAAGGGCAGTGGAATGCGCCGCAAGGAAGGCGGGGGCGGCTCCGCTGGCTGAAGCCGGCAGGAGGTTGGCAGAAGCCGGCGGAAGTACACAAAAAACCTAAGAGATGGCAACATGTTTGGGTTTAGGGTTTCTGGATTCGGCCTTGTGTCTTCCCTAGGAGACTATTGGACGCCTTGCTTGGTCCAGAATCAGTCCAGCGACGATGCCTCCATTGGCCTTCCATGGCCTCACGTTGCCGTCTCGATCCACATCAGTTTCTCCCTATCCATTTGATCTCCATCCGATATCCATATCCCCATCCCCATCTCCCCACACCCCTATCCCAATATCGATGCCCCTTGCCCATATCCGTATCCTATCCCTATCCCGATCCCCTCATCGTGACCCCCACTGTGCACCCCACTGGAAGTGTGCAAAGCTGCTCTGGGCCTTCTGGCGCCAGGGCGGCTCTGCGGAGCCGGGAGGGCGGGCCGGCTGGTCAACCCTGGCTGGCACATTCGGTGCCCTCCTCTCCGAGCCAAGGTTTTGCATGCGCTGGTCTGGGGTCCGCCCGGAGGCTGCGGCGCCCGTACGCATCGGGAGTACAGCCGGCACGAGGGGCGAGAGGGACCGTAGTTTTGGGGGGGAGACCCTTCGTGGAGTTCGTGCTTCGGCTTCCCAGCTTGGAGCGCGCTTCGTGTCTGATTAGGCCTGCCAGATGGGGTCCGAGTGGATGGGTTCGGAGGATCGCACCGCATCGCCGATGCATCGGCGACGGCGATGTTGCTCGGTGTGGAGCCCGCGCTCCCCTGGCCTCTGCTGAGGTGCGTTCTGACCAGAACTTTGAGGCGAATCCAGCCGTGGCGACGAGGGCCTCGCAGGAGGCCCTTGAATCGACGAAGGAAGAAGACGGGGAATGGTACAGTCGACCCGCACAGTGAGGATGAGCGACTTCCACGGGCTACCCTCGCATCCCCGCTCCTCCGGGCCCTCCTCGGCGACTTTCGCTGGCCAGCCCCGTTCGCGAACGCCAACACGCCCCTCCGAGGCCCCGGGCATCCCTACCGCGCATCCTTGCAGCAGGTGGGTTGCCTGCAGCGGCAGCGGTGCCACTTCCGCCGCGCCTCGCCCCGCGGGCCCAGGGTCGTCCTACATGCGCGACCAGGTCGAGGCGCTCCGCGGCGTCGTCGACGTGCTCGGCGTCGACGGCCGCGCGCGCCTCGGCGAGATGCGCGAGGCCGTGGAGGGCTCCGGGATGGTCTTGCAGGGCAACGTGGACTCGTTCGTGCTGCGGCACGGCAGCGAGGCGGGGCCCGCGGCCACCGCCTTCTGTGTTCTCTGGGCGTCCCTCGGACTTGTGCGTCTTGCGTTTCTCGGCGAGGGGCACCATCGAGGAGCATTTCTCTTCACCTTGCGAACGACTGCGCGCTCGAAACCGACGAATAATGCACATGAAGTGGACGTGCGAGCGGTGGCGAGTTCCAAGATGAGGACAAGGCGCCAGTTCCGCTGCCCTTTTCTCGTGTTGTTAGGATGTTCCAACGCATTTTAGCTTTGATCACCAGGAGGAATTTCGAGCAACAAGAAAGTGCCGAAACTGGAGGGTTTTCACGTGTCGGGCCCTGGGAGACGCTCGTTCGACACTGTCTCGATATTGTTTCGACACTTTTTCGACACTTTTCCGCGTGCTCGAAATTATTTCTGGGATGTGGTCCTTAAGTACGATGGGAACAACATGAGCCTTGGACCTCTTGGGAGGCCCTCGTCGCGATCGTGACCAAACATGGGGTCCAGCAGCGCTGGCTGCCGAGCCACCCAACACCCGCCTCACCACCATTTTAGTAATCCAAATGGCGGTTGGCCAGTTCTGCAGACGGTCACGCAGGATCCCCACCTTGCTGACCACCGTTTGGATTACGCATCGGTGGTTAGGGGTCGGCCCAACTGCGTCCGACCCCTGGGTGTAGCATTCCAGTCCCGAGTACGTTCGTTGTTCGGTGCGCCTGGTTGGCCATCAAGCCCCCCGGTGGCTACAGTCGGGGCCCTGAAGAAGGAACCCTTTTCGTTGGGGAGGGGCTCCGCGTTCCTTAATCGTTTCGCAGCTTGCCCTGGATTTTCCTTAGGTTTTCGACACGAAATCGAAGTTCAACTTATGGAAAAAAGGGGCCTCGTTCCTAATTCAGGGTTCCTTAGGTCAACGCCTCGACTGTACTAGGAAACGCGGAGCGCGCACGGCTTCATTCGCGAATTTAAGGCGTCTGCATTTGGCACTCGCCTGAGACTCCAGCCCGGCATGCCCTGGCAGTGCCGCGGCACTCACAGGAGGCCCTCGTTGAATTCGTTAGGATTGTGACGGGCCCATCGACTCCTGCGGGCAATAGTTATATCCACATCCAGTGCGTCTTGGATTCTTGGGCTCTCTTCCCCAGAAACCGTGGACGCACTGGATATGGGTAAAAATCTGGCCCCAAGAGGCTTGATTTTATCCATATCCAGTGCGCCTCGGCGTTGCGGCACCTCTTCCCGAAAAGTCCACGATGCTCTGGATATGGATATAAGTACTGCCCGCAGACTCCACCACATCCTGAATTACAGAGCAGCGATTTGTAACTACTCAGGCAGAGAGCAGGGGCCACTATCACACAAGCCCTCATTGCGTTGTTTCAAACTGTCGCAGGGGCACCTTGCATACTTCGGTTATGGACATTCTTCGTGCGGTTTGGCGAGTGTATCATTGTTTTTCGCACCGTGTCACGGGTCTTTTGCATCTTGGTCCATTCGTATCGTTGACGCTCTTCGCAAGTGTGATCAGTTCAGGCGCTTTTTCTTTCCGCCAGCGAGCCCGCGCAGGCGGAGCCAGGACCTCGCGTGCATAGCCAATTGCAGGTAGATGCGCGCATAGCGCGCCAGCGCCTGGCATAGCACGTTATGGTGCACCAGTCTTCTGCTGTGCACCTTGGGATTAGTGGCTTTGAAGCCGAGCGGTAGCGAGCTTCGCCTGACTCGAAGGCGAATCGCCTACACGTACGTAGCCCCCCGCAGTTGAGGGTAACAGTGAGGGGCGGGCGCGGACTGGGTCACGGGCGAGGACGACGATAACAACAGGTAGACAAACAACCAACACTGATAATAATCCCGACCGCGGATCCCCACTTCAGCCACGCACCCAGGGACAGTGTAAGTGGAGAAACCAACAACAATACCCATACCGCTACTCCCCAGACATCTCCCGGGGTGCGTTATGACGAGGATTTCGAGGCTGCTCCAGCCGTGGCGACGAGGGCGACGCGATGAGCGCGCCTCGGAAGAGGGGCTTCCAGAGCCGGCCCGGGCAATCCGCGCAGACCTTTGAGGAGTTATGGCCATTGTGAAGACTGCGGTGTAGTCTCTTCTGGATCCTCCGGGGAGGGAATGAAGGCGCACAGAACATGACCGTCCTCCGAAAACACCAAACGTTTGTGGGACTCGCTGCGCTGATGCGCGGATCGGCCGATGGCTACTCCACCGATGCGCCCAGCAATCCTCCGATGCGCGTATCAACCAGCCCTGAAACCTAATACTCTGCCCGAACGACCCTCTGCTGGGGAATCGTAAGACTCGAATTCGCCGCAGCTTGGGTTTGCCGACGCTTTTTTGACCGCCCCGTCCTTGATTTTAACGGTCCAGTGTTCGTTGGACGTTTTGCAGCGGGAGCTCGCGTCAAATTTCAGGCTGGGTCTCGTCATTTTCCTGACGGCCCCGTCAGGCCAACCCGAGTCTTCCGAACCCCGGATCCGCGTTGTTACGCCCCCCCGATTCTACAGCGAACGACTCTCTGCTTACACTCGGCCCCGGGGGCCCAGACATATCCGCATCCACAGCCCCATGAAGGCCTCAGACATTGGAAATTGTTTGTTCAAAGACCGGCGATAACCTGTCCGTAGCCATTTTGGCTCAAGTTTTGCCCAAGACATTGTGGCAAGTCTTCAGGCATTTGGAACGCGGGGTTTTGCGCCTGTTGCCGACAAGCCCCTGTTGCCTCACCGTTACCGGCATGAACGTCGCGGTGTTTGCAGCATCGTTCGCCATCCTGCTCGTCGGCCGCGGCGGCGTCGCCGCCGACGGCATGACCGAGACCTTGGAGGAGCGCCGCCTGGTGGAGGACGACTCGCACAACTGCGACGACGCCACGAGCGAGGCCGACGGAGTGGGGCTGCTCCAGTCACGGGCGCTGAGCCCCGGCGGGACGCAGACCGCAGACAACAGCAAGGACGAAGCGCAGGATCTACCGATCGATATCAAGAAGCTCAACTCTACAATTCATCACGGGCATGAACATCCTGGCGACGTGTATCTCGTTTTCTCGAGTTGCAATATCGAGTGCCCAGAACCAAACACTCACTGCTGCGTTGCGCCTGGCAGTGGGGGTACCTTCTTCACCTGCTGTGTTGATGGTGATGGGAAGGTTGCCCCAGGAGACAATTGCGCGTGGGGGGTGTTGAACAAGTGCACGAGGGGATATTGCTGTCAGCACGGAAAATGTAGTCCGTGCTAGATGTCCTCCACCAAGTGGGAGCGATGTCGTCCGTGCTAGATCGTTTGGCCTCCGCTCTGCCCGCTCGGTTTAACGTCCTGTCCGCTCGTATGGCAACTTGCACGCTTGCTTTCAAGTCGTGCCCGCCGGGCCTGTCCGCCCGACGCGACCCCCAGCGAAGCGAGATGGGCACCGTGAGATGGAGGAGACGAGCCTTGAGAAGAACGAGGAGGATGAGGAGCTGGGTTATGAGGTTGGGGTGGTGGAGGAGGAGATCAGGCTAGCCGCGTTACTCGGCAGGAGTCGTTGTGGCATTTGTTGGTTGAGGCTGTGGTTGGGTCTTGGAGAGATCCTTCCCCTCCCAGAATGCCTCTGCTCCAGCAGCCTGGTGCGCATTTTGCATTCCGCCAGCTGGAACTGCCGCTCCTTTGGGAAGAGGCGTCGCGCGCCGCAGGGCTGCGGTTGTGTGGCGCGCGGTGCTGGCTGCTCGTCCGACTTCTCTCAGTTTTCTTTCGTTTTTCTCGCAGCGCACCTCTCTCGTTTACCCTTGTCTATTTGGCCGCTTCTCTTGCATGATCCATCGATTCGTTTGTTACTGCAGCACGTCGGCGCGAAACGGGCGCTCTCGGGAGGGGATGAACCAGCGCTTTGCCGGACATTCCAAAAAAAAACCGGCGATAACCTGCGTCATCGGGTCCGCCCCCCCAATTTCATGGCTTTTCTTTTGCGCAGGTCCGAAGGGGCTGCGCCGTAGTTGCGCGCGAGGGAATACGTAGGGCTGCCCAAATCAAACAAATCGGGAAGGTTAGGTTATCGGCCAGCGCCCCCCGCCGAAAAGATGAGAAGGGATCTCATGGAGGCCTCAGGCCATGGTTCCCCGGCGGTCGACCTGCAGAGACTCGGGCCTCGGACCGCTCGCCGCCGACGGAGCGCGCGCCCGCGCCCGCAGCAGCGGGCCGGCCTCGGGCCAGCCGCGGGGCTCGAGGCTCGAGGAGGAGGAGGAGGAGGAGGAGGAGGAGGAGGAGGAGGAGGTGGAGGAGGAAGAGGAGGAGGAGGAGGAGGAGGAGGAGGAGGAGGAGGAGGGGAGGAGGAGGGGAGGAGGGAGGAGGAGGAGGAGGAGGAGGAGGAGAGGGGCCTCGCGCCCTCGGGGGGCGCGGGAAGCGTGAGGCTCGAGGCCGCCGAAGCTCGGGCTCGCCGACGCTCTTCGAGGAGCCCGTCCCGGATTCTGGCGTTCCCAGCGGGGGCTCGCGGGGAATGTTGGGAGGCCGCGTCCGATCTCAGGCTGGGTCTTGTCATTGTCCGAACGGCCCCGTCAGGCCAACCCGAGTTCATCGAGAACGAGATAACCCCTAACCCTGATAACACAGTGAAGACGTGGCCTCACTGAGGCCCCCGTTCTTGCATTAGGGATCGGAGGTTGGGGGGTGAGATCGCAGTGGAACGGAGACCCCCAACCGGGAAATCGTTTCGTTTCGTTCGTGTCGTGCGTGCGGGCGAGGCGACGCTGCGTGGGCGCGCGAGAGGAATGAACCCGCCGTTGCAAGGGCGAAGTTAAGACAAATGTTTCTCCGTCTGTTCGTCCGTCCGTCCGTCCGGCGGTGGCCCCGTGGTGTCCCGTGGTGCCCGCATTTGCCAGGGCGAAGTCAAGACAAATGTTTCTCCTCCGTCCGTCCGTCGGTCCGTCCGTCCAGCGGTGGCCCTAGCGGTGTCCCGCGGTGTCCCGTGGTGTCCTGTGGTGTCCCGTGGTGTCCCGTTCAGTGCGATCGATAGTGAGATCGATAGTGAGATCGATAGTGGGATCGATACTGAGATCGATGTGCTGCCCCGAGGTGTCCCGTGGTGTCCCAAAAAGTGAGATCGATAGTGAGATCGACAGGCCCATGGTGTCCTTTTGAGTGAGATCGATACTGAGATCGATACTGAGATCGATACTGAGATCGATACTGAGATCGATGTGATGCCCCGAGGTGTCCCGTGGTGTCCCAACAAGTGAGATCGATAACCGCATCAAGCCTTTAAGAACCCCCCCCCCTCATCTG